GAAGTTGACAGAAGACTCGGAACAAAAGACAAGGAAGCCTGCCTGGCCATGCTCAGGAGGCTGAGACAGGAGGTTAGAAAGGTTAGGAGTAACCTGGGCAACTTATTAAGACTGTATAAAAAGTAAAACTGAGCTAGGTGGTGGTGGTGGCACATGCCTTTAATCCCAGCACTGGGGAGACAGAGGTAGGCAGATTTCTGAAATTGAGGCTAGCCCAGTCTACAGAATGAGTTCCAGGTCATCCGAGGTTATGTAGAGAGAGGCATTGTCTCAAATAAATAAATTTAAGAAAGAAAATGACTGGGGGCTTAGCTTAACCATTCACAACCTAGAATCTTCCAGTGGGGAGCTGGGAGTGTGGTTCAGCCATGAAATGCTTACCTAGCATGTGGGTGGCTCTGGCCTCAGTCATCAACACACATACACACAAAATGATGGTGACGGCATCTCGCTGTGACCTGGGTCCCCTGGCATGTTAGTCTGTCTCACTGTTTCTGAGGTCCTCAGACAGGCTCCCGAGAGTCTCAGGATTTACCATTCCCATCTCGTCCCCTAATTCCCACCCTGAGTGTGTCTGGGTTGGAGGACACCCGCAGAGATGCCTCCATGCCAACACCACTGGCTTCTCTCAGCCCAGCGTGTATTTGGAACATATTTCCGAGTGGGCTTCTATGGTGCACGATTTGGTGACCTGGATGAACAAGAGTTTGTGTACAAGGAACCGTCAATCACAAAACTGGCAGAGATCTCCCACCGACTGGAGGCACGTCCTGGCACTGGGAGGTGGGACAGGCCATGTGGGTTATAGTGGGGACTGCCCAGTGAGGGCCCAAGTCAACCCTGTGTCTCTAGGAATTCTATACGGAGAGGTTCGGGGACGATGTGGTAGAGATCATCAAAGATTCTAATCCAGTGGACAAGTCCAAGCTGGACCCACAGAAGGTGCGTCCTCTCACCGTCTCCCCGAGATCCTGTATTGGAGGAGTTTGCAAATATTGTTTGAGTGGGGCAAGTCCGGTTTCTTGAGGGGAGGGGTTCATGTCCATCCAGAATCGGGGAGATCTGGGCTCCAGATTCAAAGACTTCAAGCCCAGAGGGACCACGGCCTCTGGCTGGAGTTGTGTTGTCAGGTGAACCCCAGACTGCTCCCAGCTTTATGCACGACCCTGTGCCCCAGGCCTACATCCAGATAACCTACGTGGAGCCGCACTTTGACACTTATGAGCTCAAGGACCGGGTGACCTACTTTGACCGCAACTACGGGCTACGAGCTTTCCTTTTCTGCACACCGTTCACACCAGATGGGCGAGCGCACGGGGAGCTGGCTGAGCAGCACAAACGCAAGACCCTGCTGAGCACAGAGCACGCCTTTCCCTACATCAAGACACGCATCCGCGTGTGCCACCGTGAGGAGGTGGGACCCCAGGCCTGGGAAGGGGTAACAGGAGGCTTACGACCCAGAAAGGGGAGATATAAGGACTCAAGGTCAAGAGAGGAAAAGGTAGAGGAACCCCAGTTCAGGGACCCTGGATTTAGGAAAAGAGAGATAGGGTTTGGGAAATAGCAGAATTGGGTTTGGGAAATATAAGGATCCCAGGCTGTAGACTCAGATGCAAACCTCTACCACCAGACCTGGAGAGATCTGGAAACCTCAAACTTAGAGCCCCCAGACTCAAAGTGCACCAGACTGAAGCCCCAGCAGAGTCAAGATCCACCCAAGGAAGGACAAATTCCCAACTCTGTTCATGCTGCCTTGAATAGGACTTGGCAGGCCTCAGCAGGTGCACCCCAACACGGGCACACATTTCCATACATACACCTCCCACTCACCCCACAGACGGTGCTGACACCAGTGGAGGTGGCCATTGAGGACATGCAGAAGAAGACACGGGAGCTGGCCTTTGCCACTGAGCAGGACCCTCCAGATGCCAAAATGCTACAGATGGTTCTGCAGGGCTCTGTGGGACCCACTGTGAACCAGGCATGGCTGTCATTCCTGGGGGGAGGGAATCTGCTACCTTGGGCCTCCAGGTGCCATTTAGGCCCTCATGATTCTTCTCACCCAGTAGGGTCCCTTGGAAGTGGCCCAGGTATTTTTGGCAGAGATCCCAGAAGATCCAAAACTCTTCCGGCATCACAACAAACTACGGCTCTGCTTCAAGGATTTCTGCAAAAAGTACGCTGACTGTTACAACCCTGCCTTCCTGACTCCCTCTGTTCCAGGCTGGTTAATACCCATCCTGACTTCCCTGCTACATAAACCTGGCTCCCTATTTAAACTCACAGACCCATTGTGGGCCTTTGCACACCTGCCCCCACACTCCACCTCCTTAAGGACTCCCTCGCCTCTGTTCCTGCTCTCTCTTGAGTGCCAGTCCCTAGCAGCCTTTTCCTGATCCCTCAGGTGTGAGGATGCACTGAGAAAGAACAAGGCCCTGATTGGACCAGATCAGAAGGAGTACCACCGGGAATTGGAACGCCACTACAGCCGCCTACGGGAGGCTCTACAGCCTCTGCTCACCCAGCGTCTGCCTCAGCTGCTGGCACCAAGCTCCACCAGTCTCAGGTGCCCACTGTGGGGGCTGTCACAAACATGAATATACACATATGTGCACATACACAGCAAAGTCCATGTCCGGACTAAGTGGTGTGACTTCATCTACTCTGTTTTTCTATTATTACGTTAGATTTAGTTGATGGGACATATATGTGTTTACAGTGCGTTGCGAGGTCAAGTGCAGCCAACAGTTCTCTTCCGCTATGTGGGTCCCACGGATTGAACTCAGGTCAGCAGGCTTGGCAGCAAGGGCTTTGACCCACTGCACCGTTTCTTGTAGTCTCAGTCTCTTCTGTCGTGGAGATTGAATCTTAGGACTTCACGTGCTAGGTTAGTGCCCTCCCTAAAAATGAACATTATTTTAGTCCCCTGTGGTAGACTGCCACACTTTGTGAAAGCAGGGTGGTTAACTGGCTACAGGCTATTACAGCCATGCTGAGATGCCTGATTTTGATTCCCCAGAACCACATGGTGGAAGGGAAGAACCAATCCTAGTAAGTTGTCTTCTGGCTTCTCATTTGTGTGCACAGCACAGAATAAATGTGATTTGTTTTAAAGAAAAACCCCTCGATTGGATCAGGAGAGACAGGAGAGAGTCTAGGCAGATTCTTGGGAAGGCTGCATGACAGAAGAGGAGGGTGGGAGGAACGTGGAGTTGGGGGTCCTGTGGCTAACCTGCCTTCTGCCCCCCAGGAACTCCCTGAACAGATCAAGTTTCCGGAAGGCTGACCTCTGACCCCGAAGGACTGGAAGCCACACCAAGAAGACCAGCACCCACACCTCAGCTGTCTGTGCTTTCTGGGGTTTCTCCTGCCCATCATCCATGGGGTGACCACAACGTCCTTAGGGCTGGGCCCTCTATCCCTCTGTCTGTCTGCACTGATGGATCCTAAGTTTTGTTTTGTTTGTTTGTTTTTAATTTAAAATGAGTTTTATATGCAACCTGTGTGGCGTGACAGTTCGTGGTGAAGAAGAGAACACATGCAGTGTAACATGTCCATGGGGAAAAGTGCTGTATGTATGTGTGTGTGTTCATGTATGTGCACGTGGTAAGGGTTTGCATGCACAAATGTGTGATACCTGTGTATTCCTCAGTCTCTCTTCACATTTTGCTTTGTTTTGTATTTACTATGTACCCAGGCACCCAGGCTGACCCGAAGCTTATAGATCACACTGACCTTGAACTCACAATCTCAGCGTCCTGGGTGCTGGGATTGAAGGGATGCGCCACTATGCTTAGCTTCTCTTCACCTTATTTTTATTTTATTCTTTGTTTCATTTATTTATGTGTGTCTATATATGTTGTGGGCGCATGTGTGCCATGGCACCCAAGTGGAGTCAGAGGGCCACCTGCAGGACTCGGTTTCCCCTTCTTATCATGTGGCCCCCAGGCCCTCAGATTTAGCAATAGACACTTTTTTCCCCCTGGTCTTTCGAGATAGGGTTTCTGTGTATAACAGCCCTGGCTGTCCTGGAACTAGCTCTGCTGTAGACCACGCTGGCCTCGAACTCACAGAGATCTGCCTGCCTCTGCCTCCCAAATGCTGGGATTAAAGGTGTGCTCAGCATCAGGCACCTTTACCTGATGAATCTCTCCTTGTTCCTCCACTTATTTTTTAAGACAGGTGTTTCACTGAACCTGGAGTTCCCAGATCCAGTTCAGTTCATTGGCCAGTAAGTCCCAGAGATCTGCCCAGCTTCCAGAATTGGGCTTACAGATAACTTTTTGGACCCAGCTTTACATGTCTGCTGGAATCTGAACTCAGGTCCTGGTACTTTCTTAGACAAGCAATTTACCCCCTGAGACAAAGACAATCCCCAGCTCCAGGACTCCAGGAGCAATATTCCTGGGCTTCTGGGATGGGAGTTCCTTTCTCCTCTCTCTGTCTCTGACCTGGAGTCCCTGATAGCCCTGGGTCCACCTCTTTGATGTGCTGGGACTACAGGTGTGCACTGCCACAGCCAGACTGACTTCAGAAAGTTCTGTGCAAACAAAAGTAATTATCTGGGCCGGGGGGTGCAGTTTAGTGGCACAGTGATTACCTAGCATCCAGAGTCCTGGGATCCATCCAAACCCCACAACCCCATAACCCCACGGACTGTGACTTGTGTCAGCCTGTGAGTAGTTTAAAAGAAACTTTCTGAATACACCGATCACATAGGTCAATGATTAACCCTATTTAATTAATGGGGAAACTGAGGTCTAGTTCAGGAAAAGACAGGTGGGGGCGGGGGATTGGGCTACTCGTCAGTGCTATCTCTAAGCTTGGGCCGGCGGTCACGCCACGGTACACCCGGCCCGCAGCTGGACTGCTTCCAGCCGGCGGCGGCCAACGGGGGAGGGGTGACCTCCAGTCGCCGCCACTGCACCCGCCCTCGAGCTGGGCCGCAGCCAGCTCCGCCCCCCTGCAGCGTCCAGCTGCAAAGGGCGGGCACCAGGCTTGGAGAAGGAGAGGGACCCTGTCCCGAGGACTGGTGGCCAGAGGCCAACTGAGCCCCTAGGACGTGCACAGGCAGCAACGAGAGACCGTGCACCCCCACGACCACCCTTCAACTTCGCCCCCAGCCCCCGCTGCACAGGCGCCGGGGAGGCTGAAGGGGCGGGGTTTGTCGATTGGGGCGTGGCTACCGCGTTGGCCGGGCTGGGTTTCGGCGGCCGAGGCGGAGCGCGCAGGACGCCTGGGACGGCGAAAGCTGGAGCGCGCCAGGCGAGTGGGACCCTGGGCTGGTTGGGGTGGTTTGGGGTCCGGGCTGCTTTAGAGGGGCTATCAGAATTTCTAATTCACTTCCAACCCGAGGCTACAAACTCACTCCACTTTCTGAGCTGGTCCTTCCCGAGTCTCACCATCTGCGCCCAAACTTTGCAAACCTGAGCGTCTGGATCCCCGTGCTCCTGTCCCCCTCCCCAGCCCTGACCTCGGCCCTGCTTCTCTTTCCTCAACCCACCTCCTTTACTTTATCGTTCCCTGTCTTTCTCCCTCTGCTCCATCCCTCTCATCTAACTGTCCCCTTCCCTGCCGGGGTTCCTCCTTTCGCAGCTCCCGGTGGCCGGGCCCGGACCCTCAGCGGCGGGAAGGCATCCGGGCGTCCGGCCGGGTTGGGCCTGGCTGCTGGGCGAGTGTGGGGGGAGAATCAGCAGATGTTTGCCATTAGACGGGGACCCCGCAGGCCCCGCCCTCCCCGCCCGGGGCGGGGTCCTGCTTACCCTCAACTTTGGGGGCGGAGAGAGCTAGGCAGGAAAGCCCCCAGATCCGCCCAGGCTGATGGGGAGGTGCACTCTGGGGAGACCCAGAGTGGCCCTTCTCTGAAAACTCTCCCACCTGTTGATTCTTCCAGCCTCCTTTCGCCACCCCCATCCAGGGATCTTGTCGGGAGAGAGGGGCCTCCTGCCACCCTTGCCACCGACTTACTGCCTGCGGTCATATGACTGGGGACCCTTAGACCTCAATCTTTCATTCGCTATGTCTGGGGAGAGATGTGTGGGTTCTAGAGGTGTCTTGGGCGAATCTGCCACACTTAGGTTAAGTCCACCATCACAGCTTACCCAAGTGACCTTGGGCAAGATTCACACTCAGTGATAAACTTCGGTGAGGGTTGTCGTGGCAGCCGAGAGTTGGTGTTATAACCTGTAGTCACGGAGGACGCCTGTTGGGTCCCAGCGTTTGGGAGGCTGAGGCCAGAGAGTATCGAGATCGAGGCTGGTCTAGGCAGTGTAGTAAACTCTTTTTCTTTCTTTCTCTCTCTCTCTTTTTGTGGGTTTTTTTTAATTATTTTTTGTTTTGTTTTGTTTTTTGAGACAGAGTTTCTTTCTGTAATAGCCCTGGCTGTCCTGGAACTCTCTTTGTAGACTAGGCCAGTCTCGAACTCACAAAGCTCCACCTGTCTCTGCCTCCTGAGCTCTGGGATTAAAGGCACGAGCCCCCACAGCACAAGCTCTTTTCTTTTTTTTTTTTTCACAAGCTCTTTTCTTAAAAACATAAACAGGTCAGGTGGTGGCACACATCTTTAATCACAGCACTCGGGAAGCAGAGGCAGGCAGATCTCTGTGGGTTCAAGGCCAGCCTGATCTACAGAGCAAGTTACAGGACAGCCTCCAAAGCTACACAGAGAAACCCTGTCTTGAAAAAAAAGGGGGGGAACTGGGGTGTACAATGCATGCCCAGCATATATGAAACCTGGTGTTGTATTCCCAGAATGGCGTAACTGGGTGTGGTGGTACAACCAGCCATCCCCAGCACTTAGGAGTAGAGGCAGGAGGAGCAGAGTTCCAAGGTTATCTTCAGCCATTTAGTGAGTTTGAGGCCAGCCTGGGCTACATGAGATTCTGTCTCAAAACACAAAGCAAGTTGATGTTATAATTATTAATTTTATTCATTCCATTTGGGCACCCCTACCTCAGGTTATCCCAGTACTGCACCCTTCCTCTGTGTCTCTCTTAGGTCTCCAGAAATATTTTTGAACCAGCTTCCTGGTGTTGGAGACTCCAGGCGGATGCAGGGCCAATTTTTCCCTCCAGTTGGTCACTGTGTATTCCAGGTGTTCAAGGCAGTAAAGCAAGGGCAGAGATGTAAAGAGACACAGGCTGGGGGGAGGGGGGCAGAGGTGTGGAGGGAAGCTAAACAAGAGGGAGAGAGCATCCCAGGCCTGCCTCCATGCCTAGCAGGTGCCCACAGCTGAGAGTGCTCACCCTGGAGGACGAGATGGGTAGAGGTGTCTGCAACGAGGTGGCTGGAGGGCAGACAGCTGAAAAGACTGACCCTGGCTGACCTCCAGGGCTGAAGTGGGCTTAGTAAGAGCTCTTTGCAGGCCATGGGCACCCCCCTTTACTTCCTCCTCCCCACCTCTATCCCTACTGCATCCCCTACCCTCCCAGGCCGGACACATCCTGAGGGGGCAGGAAGTTCTCTCTAGCTGGGCAGAGAAACTGTTTATTTTTAGAGAAAATTGTTTCCATAAAGAGGAAGGCTTCTCACAGCTTGTATCCTCAGCACTTTCCCTGCTCCAGGGGCCTGACCTCGCTCTCAGCTTTGGGGTCGCTGAGGGGTCCCACCCTCCATGTTGTGTCTCTTGTCAGGCTCTGAGATCCCCACTGTGTCTCTGTTAGCATCCCAGCTCCTCTACCTACTCTTAGCCAGCTCTCCCAGTGCAAAATTCAAGATGAGCCAAGGGGAGGGGGCACAGGAAGGGTGGGATCCCCTGCCCTGGGGGCCATGTGGAGGCTGTGGGAACAGCTGGAGCCTGTCCAGGGCTGGACAGATGTGCACACAGGCAGGGCGGTTTGGTTTCTTTGTTCTGGGACTTTCTGCAGCCAGGCAAGGGTAGGGAGGGGAGCTTGAGTGTTTAAGTATTTGAGAGGTGCCTGACCAGTGCAAGGCCGTCTGTGGAGGGAGGGTGCCACGTCCCCTCCCTTCCCCTTGAAGACTGCTGAGACTACTCTGTGAACCTCTGCAGGTCGGCCTCAGTGCTGCAGGCCGTGTGACTCACAGTTCGCTGGGGGACACCTGAGGAGCAACAGCAGAGAGAGGATGGCCCAGGTCCTGCATGTGCCTGCCCCGTTCCCAGGTCAGGGGCAGGGGGGAAGGGGGGAGGGCTCTGCCCTGGAGGTCTTGAATGGGGGGGACACTGTAACGGTGTGGGGGAGGTCAGCCCTAACGTGAGGGCCTGGGGTGGGGGACGGAGGGGATGAGACAGCCATGTGAGGCTCTGTGAGGCAGGAAAGCCCTAATGTGAGCGGAGAAGGACATCTCCTTCTGGCTGTCCACTGTGGCATCAGTGGGTGACAGGGCCAAACAAGACCCTGTTGATGTAGGGTAGACTCCCAGCTCTGGCAGAAGCTACCTGTGTCCCTGGGCTGTACTTTAAGGTCTTGGCTTTCCCCTACTCCAGGGACTCCTGGCCAGGCCACCCCTGCAACCTTCCCCGGCAAAGAGCCAGATCCACCTTACTCTGTGGAGACGCCCTACGGCTACCGCCTGGACCTGGACTTTCTAAAGTACGTGGATGACATTGAGAAGGGCCACACACTGCGCAGGGTGGCCGTGCAACGCCGTCCACGCCTGGGCTCCCTGCCGCGGGGCCCGGGTTCCTGGTGGACGTCCACGGAGTCGCTGTGCTCCGACGCCAGCGGGGACAGCCGGCACTCGGCCTACTCCTACTGTGGCCGTGGCTTCTACCCACAGTACGGGGCGCTGGAGACCCGCGGCGGCTCCAACCCACGTGTGGAGCGTACGCTGCTGGATGCGCGCCGCCGGCTGGAGGACCAGGCGGCCTCCCCATCAGGTGGCCTGGGCTCCCTGACACCCAGCGCTGCGGGCTCCACCAGCTCCCTGGCAGGCGTAGGCCTGCTGCCGCCCACACCTCGCAGCTCCGGTCTGTCCACCCCGGTGCCACCCAGCGCAGGTCACCTGGCCCATGTGCGCGAGCAGATGGCTGGGGCCCTGCGCAAGCTGCGCCAGCTGGAGGAGCAGGTGAAGCTGATCCCCGTGCTCCAGGTCAAGCTTTCAGTGCTCCAGGAGGAGAAGAGACAACTCACCGTGCAACTCAAGAGCCAGAAGTTTCTAGGCCACCCCTCAGGAACACGGGGCCGGGGTGAGCTCTGTCTGGACCTTCCCGAGCCTCCCGATGGTTCTGCTGTGCTGGAGACCCGCTCTGTAGGCACCTGGGTCCGGGAACGGGACTTGGGCATACCGGATGGTGAAGCTGCCCTGGTGGCTAAAGTGGCGGTGTTGGAGACCCAACTCAAAAAAGCGCTGCAGGAGCTGCGGGCGGCTCAGACCCAGCAGGCCGACCTCCAGCCCCAGGCCTGGCCACCACCAGACACCCAGGTCCGTGTGGACACCGTACGAGTGGTGGAGGGTCCCCGGGAAGTGGAGGTGGCAGCCAGCATGGCAGCGGGAGCCCCTGCACAGCGAGCCCAGAGTCTGGAACCCTACGGAGCAGGGCTGAAGGCCCTGGCCACATCTGGGGGCACAGAGAACGCCCTCGTGTTCCGCAGCCATGAGGTGGTGGAGACTATGTGCCCGGTGCCCACAGCCAGCACCAGCAACGTGCACACGGCCAAGAAGATCAGTATTACTGAACGGAGTTGCTTTGGCGTGACCAGGACTGCAGGTGAGTGACTGTGTTCGGGGAGACCCAGCGGGGCCTCTCCTTCATCTAACCTTCGGCGAACAAGGGGCCCCAGCTTCTTAACGTGGAGACAATTCCACAATGGGCTGCAGAGCTGGAGGGGCCTGGAGAGAGGACACGATTGGTAAAGTGCTTGCTGTCCAAGCGTGAGGACCTGAGTTCTGATCCCCAGCCCCCATGTAAGAGGCTGACGGTGGCCATGTTCACCTGTCATCCCAGTGCTGGGGAGACAGACAGAAGGATAATGGGGGCCTGCTGGGCTAGCTTATCTGGTGAGTTCAGCCTGTGTTAGACCTTGTCTGAGACAGGATGAGCCCAACAAGATGGCTTGGTGGCTAAGGCACCTTGCAGCCGAACCAGATGACCCAGGTTCTAACCCTGGAGTTCACATAGTGGAAAGGCAGAACGGACACTACAAGCGTCCCTTCTGCCTCCACAGGTGTGCCCTGGCCACGTAAAAGCCCATACACTTTTATTGTTCTTTGTTTTTTTGTTTTTTGAGACAGGGTTTCTGTGTGTAACAGCCTTGGCTGTCCTGTAACTCACTCTGTAGACCAGGCTGGCCACAGATTCACAGAGACCTGCCTGTTTCAGGCTCCCAAGTTCTGGGATTAAAGGCGTGCGCCACCATCACCTGGCAATAGTACATTTTTTAAAAAGGTAGACAGTACCTGAGGAACACCATCTGTTTACCTCTGACCTAAACATGCATTCAGATACATACATATGCCCATATGTGCATGCACACACACATGCATGCCCGCACACACACATGCATGCCCGCACACACACATACATACATACATCCATGCACAGAGAAATTGAACTTCTAGCATATTGCCTTGTTGTGTTGAGGTGTTTGGAGGACATTCCCCAAGATGGTTGGTTTCATAGCATAGTCTCTCTTTTGAATTAAAAAATGGCAGGAACGTGTTGGGCACATGTAATTTTAGATAGAGTGTGTTGTCCGTGGTTCAGGCGTGGCTGGATCTGAGTGCTCAGAAGCCGTGTGGAATCCCTAACTTGTGTCTGTTCTGTGGCACCTTCAGGAGGGTGAAGGATCCAGAACTAAAATGCTCCTTCTCCACGGATCCCGTGTGTTCACATAACACCAGATTAAAACCCCACGAGTGGCCTTCAATGGCAGAGCCAACCAGTGTACATCTCCCTGCCCAGCCCTGAGCCCCGAGGGTGGAGGAGACCCTTCCTGAGTCCAAGGGCCTTCAGAAGAGGAAGGGGGTGTACCCGGAGGAAGTGCTGAGTCCTCGTGCCCGGAAGGGCTGTATACAGATTGTCAGCTGCCCAGGAGAAGCTGCCAGGATGATTCATAGGAATAGTCACAGCTGTTCTGTCTTGGCACGGGCCAAGGGGTGCCAGCTGCTTTGCTAAGTGATGGGCAACAGCCGAGGTACCCGGGTTCCATTGCTGTGTGATCCCCGCAGGGACACCGCCTCTCTGGGCCTCCACTTTCCTCTCTGTGACATGCTCTGATACGGATCCACCCGCGTTGCAAACAGTAGGTGCTCAGGCTGTCTTGTTGCTGCTTCTGCTGACAATGATCAGGTTGACCTTTGTGGGCTGTTCGGTTTGGGGCTTTCTCTTCTCTCTCGTTTGGACTATGTGGAGGTGGAGACGGTTTTGCTGTGCTCTGCTCTCCAGTCTTGAGCCTTCCCTTCCTCTTTCCATTTCCTACCTTCCTTGCCTTTTAACCTCCATCTCTTCTCCTGAGTGCTGTGTATCAGGTGCGGGGCACCTCACCTGGCTCAGTCTTGAATGCTCATTCCTTGCCTCAGCTCCCTGACTAGTTGGGATTACAGAGCATTTAATCTACTCCTGACTTCACTCTACTTATAGCTGGGGAAACTGAGGCTTAGGGCAAGGATTTACTGTGCCAGGGTCTGCATCAAGAGCCCATGGAAGCCGACCTCTCTCCCCCATAACCAAAGTCAGGTTGACTGGAGCCCTGCTGAGTCTGAGGGGCAGAGGCTGCAGGGCCTGGCCCAGCTGTGTTTCCTTGCTTCCCCGTTGTTCCTGGCCGGCTTCGGAAACCACCCCTCTGTTCCGTGTCCATCTAAACACCCAGCCCTGAGGTTCTGGCCCTCAGCCAGGGGCCCGCCCAGCCCAGCCTTGGAATCTTTGAGAGGCACCCTCCATTCCAGACGTGCCTCCCAGGGCAGTCATGGGACCTCCTGCTCGCCGGACATACAGACAAAGCTATGTTCACTGCCTGTGGAAACTGCCACTCCAGAAGTCCTCCCTCGTGTCTCACTGCACTCCCTCTTGCTGCAGCTTGCTTACATCAGGCCTCACGTAGATGGAGCAGGAGTGGGTCCAGTCCAGTATTTCTCGGTGAATGCTTAGTACTTAGTCTCACAGGCCCTGCGAACACAGCAAAGCTCCCTGCTCAGAGCAGGGGGACACAGTTCAGCAGGTAAAGTTGCTTGCCACCAAATCTGAGTATGACCTCCGACCCACATTTTGTTTGTTTTTGGAGACAGGGTCTCACTGAATTGCACTGTTTGGCCCAGGAGCTTGCCATGGGGACCAAGCCAACCTCCAAATGCTGGGATTGAAGGTGTTGACCACCATGCCTGACCCACGTACACAGGTTGTCCTGTGACCTCCATATGCGCAAGCCGTGGCATCCCAACCCCAAGTAAATGAGTGCATAAGTCAGTGTCACTGTTTAGAGACCGGGCCTCATTGTGCAGCCAGGGTACCCTCAAACTCTCAGATCACTCACTGCCCTTGACTCTGGAGTATTGGGATTAAAGATGTACACTAGTGTGCCTAGAAACAAACATCATTTTAAAAACACCCCTGCAGAAAATATGCGAGAGACCCCAATACGAAAGTGAAAAGTATCCACGTGGGAAATACGTGCTCAGATCAGAACTGGGTTGTGGTAGTTCACTGGGTGCTGGCCTCCCTGTGCCCTGCGGCTGTAATCTTAAGCATACTCTTAAAACTGTGGTCTATTGGGGTAGCATCCTGAACCTCCTCAAAATGGTGTGTCCTGACAGACCATTGTGCTGGAGGTGTGGCTCAGTGAGAACCTCCTGCCTGGAATTCCCCAGTAAGGGGCTGGAGGGTGTGGCTAAGTGGTAGAGCCCTGCCTAGAATCCCCCAGTGAGGGGCTGGAGTGTGGCCCAGTGATAGAGCCCCTGCCTAGAATCCCCAGTGAGGGGCTGGGGTGTGGCTCAGTGGTAGAGCCCCTGCCTAGAATCCCCAGTGAGGGGCTGGGGTGTGGCTCAGTGGTAGAGCCCCTGCCTAGAATCCCCAGTGAGGGGCTGGAGTGTGGCCCAGTGATAGAGCCCCTGCCTAGAATCCCCAGTGAGGGGTTGGGGTATGGCTCAGTGGTAGAGCCCCTGTCTAGAATCCCCAGTGAGGGGCTGGGACATGGCGTGGTGACAGAGCAGCTGTCTAGTGCTGGGAGGCCCTGGGTTCTGGCCCTAGCACTGTGAATCATGGCTGTGCGGCCTGTTTATGTTCTCGGTCGGATCTAGGCTCTGTGGTGTCTTTTTGACTCAGTCTGTCCGGGTGCACAAGCACAAGTGTATACGCCTAGCACTCAGTAAGCTGAAATGGGTGTAGGTGGGTGGGAATCACCTCAGCTTCAAGGCCATCCTGGGCTACAGAGTGAGTCTCAAAACATCAACAAGTAACAGGTGATGGAGAAGATACAGCCTGTGGGCAAAGAAGCACCAGGCTGGGCACAGTGGGATCAAAGGCCCTGGGATAGAGAAGGACTTGGGCTGATGAAATCTAGAATGAGGTAGAAGCAGACAAAGACTTAAGGTGTGGGGGAATCCCAGCACCCAAGGGTGAGTGCCAGAGGCTCTCTGTGCCCTGACGGTGCAGTGTCAGAGATGGGATGTGAGGTAAGGCCGAAGAGTGGGAGAAACCCCTCTCCACAGATACACACCCAGCCTTGAGAGAGATGGGCAGAATGGACCCAAAGACCTGGGGCCCTGTCCACTCCAACTGTACCAACCTACTCTCCCAAGCCAGTCAAGTCAGGGCAGAGTCAGCGAGCCCAGGCAAGCCAGGACCAGTACAAGCAGCCCTGTTCTGGTTTGACATGAATCCCTGTGCTACAGAGATGGCCCGGCTTGTACAAGCACAATGACCTGAATTGGACCCTCAAAAACCCATTTAAAAAAAAAAAAAAGCCCCACTATGTGATGCGACACACAATCTTAATGCTGGGGAGGCCAAGATGGGTGGATCCTTGGGGCTTGCCTGCCAGCCTAGCCTAGTCTACAAACCCCAGGATAGAAATCTCTCTCTATCCTGTCCCAACAACAGACTCTACTAAAAAGCGCTTGCCACTCTTGCAGAGAAATTAAGTTTGGTTCTCAGCACCCAGCCACCTGAAATCCCAGCTCCAAGGATCTGATGCCCTTCTGTGGTCTTCACAGTTCTCTCTTACACACACACACACAGACACACACGCACACTCACACACAAGTACATATACACACATATAAAAGGTAAAACAAATCTTGTAGCTAAGTGTGATGGTACGTGCCTTTAATTCCAGCACTCGGAAGGCAGAGGCAGATGGGTCTCTGTGAACGTGAGGTCGGCCTGGCCTACATGGTGAGCTCCAGGTCAGAAAAGTGATTTCTAATGTCTATAGAAACATTGGAAAGTGCAGAAAAATTTAGACTGCCAGACTCCGCCTCCCCCACCCAGGTGTGGCTGCTCTCTAGATTTTTGTCCATTCTGTTTCGTTGAGATGGGGTCCCATTCTGTAGGCCAGGAACTGGCCTAGGACTCACGGCCATGCTCCAGCCTCAGCTTCTCTGTAACAGGAACAGCCCCTGTGAGCATTTCTGTTCTTTGGCTTCTGTGCGTTTGGGCTTTTTGTTTTGTTTTGGTTTTGGGAGTTTTGTTGTTGTTTGTTGGTTTTGGTTTTGATTTTTGGAGACAGGGTTTCTCTGTATAGCCCCGGCTGTCCTGGCACTTGCTTTGTAGAC